TTCAGCTATTTCCTTTGTTCTATTTAATCTTTATTAAAAAAAACAAACTATATGTAAATTTTTGTAACTTTGTATATTTATGCATTACACGCTAATCTTTATTCGGTAAAAATTTAATTGCTAATCATGCATTACTTTTTAAGTAATACACATATTTATGTCTTTATTGTTTCCGTTCCTTATATTATGGCCGCTACTGTATATATAATTCCATGCATATAGCATTGGGTATCTGGTCGCTTGGAGCGCCTGAAAATTGTGAAACTGCCGTATAGCAAACTGTGGGTCTACATGAAAATATAAGTCGTAGAATGGCAACACTATTTGAGTATAATTTTTTTATTCATATTTTTATACGTCTGCATGTAGGTGGTGTGTGATATTCTTTCATTAATACAAGTTTAATAAAAGTCATCGGACGAGGAATTTTAAAATTTTTGCATGGAGAAGTATCCACTACTTACGTGATGCTACAAAAATAAGGCTACCATATATATATATATATATATATATATATATATGATAACCGCCAGAATGGATTATGCACCACTGACGCATATATATAAATAGCCGTGAAAAAAATTCTAACACTCACGGCTTGACGATTGCGTGTAGCATGAAAAAACCTTTCGTCTCTGAGTGTTGACTTCACTTTTATATTTACATACTCTCTATCTCTGGTATTGAGCACTTTATCACATAAATATAGCACATCTTAAAACTATATACATATATATATATATCTATATGTAAAAATATATATATATATATATATATATATATATATATATATATACATACAATTTTTTATATATATTATTTATACATTATATATGCAAGTGGTACCTATTGGAAAGCGCTCAATATCAGTGATAGAGTTGACATATTTAGTTGGATTGATGAGTTTGTGACCCTAGGTTTCACGCTAAACCCAGGTCATCAATCCAACTATATATATATATATATATATATATATATATATATATATATATATATATATATATATGTCTCTGTGTGTGTGTGTGTGGACCTGATGGCATCCCTGCCATAGCTCGTAAGAAATGTACTCCTGACCTGGCTCTGATTCTCTCTAGACTCTACAAAATATATATGGCTGCTTCTTGCTTTCCGGTTCCCGGAAATCCTCCTCTGCAGTTCCAGAACTTTAAGAACTCAGGTAAACCGTTTGATCCTTCTATTTATCGGCCTGTTAGTCCCTTTTAGTCAAAGTTCAAGAGGCCCTAATCAACTCTGAACTGGTCAATCACCTCACCTGCAGGGTCTTCTTTCAGACAAGCAATATGGCTTTTGATTCTCTAGGCTAAGTGCTGAGGAATTAACGATTGTTGCTGAAACAGTCTGTCAAGATTTCGATAAGAATGGTGAAACTCGAGCTGTTGTATTGCATATCTCGAAAGCAGTTGACAGGATTTGACATACTGGTCTTCACAAGTTGAAAGGTTATGGTGCTTCTGGACGAAGTTTTGCAATGATTCAGGCTTTCTTATGAAATAGCGAACAGGGAGGTCAGTCTTCTCGATCTTTCTGTATTAATCCCTTAGGGATCTATATATGGACCTACAGTTATGTGAACACGCTTAGGCGATCTTTCGATATATGACTGACGAGGCAGAATTTTTTTCCTGCAGTAGGTTACCATTTCTTTCTGCGGTAGACCAGTTGCTATTCAAGACTATAGAACCCGGTCTGTCCTGTTATTTAACCATAGCTGGGGAAGAGGAAGAGGATTCATACCTTTCTCAAGGTTATTAGCACGTAAGTGAACGTAAAGGATTAGAGTAGAATTCGAACTCGGCTCTCTGATTCTTCAACCCGAGCCGCTATACTCCACCACCTAAGCTGTTCTTAATTTCCATCAATGATCTTCCTGATGTCATCAGTTCTAAACTTGCTATGACACAACTATTTAATACTGTCTTTGTAATAAGCCTAATCGGTTCGAGAATGTCATATGAGTAGCTGATTTAAAAAAATGACCTACAATCTGCTCTTAACAGAGCACATTTTCCGTTGACATTAAGTAAGAAATATCTTTCTTTCTTTTTATGTGCTATGTCCTTTCAGAATATAGGCGATCATGGCTCTCCACCACCCTCTATCCCTTGCAGCTCTCAACAAGTCCATTCCGTCTGCTTCCTCCCCCAGAGCACATTTTCCGTTGATATAAAGTAAGATATATCTTTCTTTCTTTTTATGTGCTATGTCCTTTCAGGATGTAGGCGATCATGGCTCCCCAGCACCCTCTATCACTTGCAGCTCTCAACAAGTCCATTCCCTCTGCTTCGTCCCCCAGAGCACGTTCTGTCATCCACTTGCTTAAGTCCGCCAAATATTCACCGTAGGAGACTCAGTAATTTGTCCACTTTCTATACAATTTCGCCTTAGTACACTATTTTCTCTTTTAATTAATCCTGAATTATTAAAGTTGAAATTATGGACAAATACATTACGGTGAACGAATAACGCATTGATTGAGTGGTTTTTTAAAAGATCCTTTTTTTGTTTGTTTATATCATCTTCTTTTAAATTCTTCGAAGAAATTCCTTTTCTTCAAATTTTCTGTGAAGGAAGAAATGCGTTCCATAGATGTTTTTCCATTGGGTCACTCTTTCTTTTTATGTGTCGTCTCCTTTCTGGACGTAGGCGATCATGGTTCTCCACCTCTTTCTATCCCTTGCAGCTCTCAACAAGTTCCTTCCCTCTGCTTCCTCCCCTAGACCACGTTCTGTCATCCACTTGCTTAAGTCCGCCAGGTATGTCATCCACTGCTTTCCCTTGTCTCTTATTCCCTCTATTTGACCTGTGAGTATCACATTCTCTAGGCCCTCCTTTCACTCAAGTTAAATTTAAAAAAATTAAACAAATATAATCAGTAATTTCTTTCTTTCTTTTCTATGTGCCATGTCCTTTCTTGACATAGGCAATCATGGCTCTCCACCTCCTTCTATCCCTTGCAGCTCTCAACAAGTTCCTTCCCTCTGCTTCCTCCCCTAGACCACGTTCTGTCATCCACCTGCTTAATTCCGCCAGATATACCACGCGTTGTTTTCCCTTGTCTCGCTTCCCCTCTATTCGACCTGTGAGTATCAAATTCTCTAGGCCCTCCTTCCTCCTTATGTATCCCAGAAACTTCAGCTGCCTCTTCCTGATATTAAATATAAGCCTCCTCCTTGTTTGCAACCTCTCTAAGATCTCATCGTTACCCACACACTCGCTCCATATTGAATCAAATTCTAGTTCTGCTTGCTAGAAGTTACCATACATATTTATAAACCTAAGCACTGAGCATTGCTGCAACATATGGTCCGCTGCTGATACATATTTCAAGATTTCGTCCCTAAAACGAAAGTACTCTCAATTAATCATGTCAGACATCTTTTGCTTTCTGAACAGCTCGGCTGATGCTAACCAGCAAGAGAAGTCCTTGTTGCGCCATCCCTGGCTAACAAGTTCCGCTTGCATTCAGTAGAAAGGTTATATTGAATCAATAGCTAGATCAGCTACCCAGAAAATTGGTTCACTGTGTCGTGCTAGACAAAATAATTTTCCTTAATAAGATTTCTGGAACGTTGAAGCCGGTATACAAAAATAAATAAATATACTGTTTAATAAAAAAAAGAACGTCTATTTAGATATGAGTATCCGCGAAAAATGACGTTTAAAAGTCGGATTAATAAAATAAATCATTCTAATATATATATATATATATATATATATATATATATATATATATATACATATATATATATATATATACATACATACATACATACATATATATATATATATATATATATATATATATATATATATATATATATATATATATATATGAAGAAAATATACTGAAAAAACAAACAAAAATCCTAATATGCGATTATGGTGTTTTTAATGTTTAGTGTCAACGTCGGACGTTTCTGGTCTAATAGACCATCTTCAGGACATATTCATAAAACATAATTAACATAGACCATATACAATTCAACATGAAAAAGACGATGGTCATAAAAGTAATACCAATTCAAACAGATAAGTGTTTGTTTTTCAGTATTTTTCTTACTGTCGGATCTATATCCATATATTTTTATATATATATATATACATATATATATATATATATATATATATATATATATATATATATATATATATATATTTTTTTATATATTTTTCGATATCTATTTTTATGGACCTCAGGCTCAGGATGAGAAATCGAGTCGGCCTCGTTATATTCATTTACGCGCAAATACATGGCATGACTCCATTGATTCCCCTCAGCTATGGATTAAATAGTAGAAACTGGAACAATCATTTTTCTTTTATAAAATATTCGCAATTATATATTTACTCGCAAAAAAGAGAATTATCTTAGTCCGAAATATGTTTTGCATTTGGATAACCCACAAAGCGGAGCTAAGTAAATCAATCAATCAAGATTATGGCTCTAGCCTTGCGTGGCAGCCATTATAGAAGAAAGACTGAATTCTAAATCGTAGAGAAGGTAACAAGAGATCCCTCCATGCTCGATCTTGAATCATGTTAATTTGACGTGACGTGTCTTCCCTCTGTCTTTTCTTCAACTATTTTAAAGAGCTCTTTAGTGCCTCGATTGAATGAATTTAAGTCTGTTACTAGATTGGCAGATAGGTCTCACCGTTTTACCGATGAATTAGCTAGATGAAACCGTTGCTTCTTTTCTTTAATTACCTCCGTGCCATCTAAACCTTCAAAAATTTAAATGAAACGTCAATCGCTAAACTTCTTTCTTCCAGAAACTTGTTCATTTATTGACCTTTTCTGCACAAAAGTCGTCTCATTCTCTTTTACTCTCTGTAACCCCCTTGCGTCTTAGTGGCATTATCGCCTTAACAATTAAAAAAAAATCACTCATATCAAGGAAAAAGAAAACTGTGGTGAGCCATGCTCTAGATTTCGTTTATCACGAAAGCTGTTTCGAGCGTTATTTTGTTTAAAATCTTTTACGTACGCCATCGAAAGAGAGATTGGGGAAATGAAGTCAGAGATTGGGAGAAAGAGAAGGAGTGTGTGATACAGGAAGGAGCGATAGGAAGATAGAGAGAGAGAGATAGAGAGAGAGAGAGAGAAAGAGAGAGAGAGAGAGAGAGAATGAAAAGAAGGAAATATTTTATGTATTCGAAGGTTTCCGTGAAAACACGATCTCCGAATGTTGTAATAAAAATTAACAAAACAACAACAAAAAATCAAAACAAAAAAAAAAAACAATAACATTTGTCTGAAGAAATCATGCCGATTCTGTCCAATTAAAGAATTTCGCTGCTAAGCCATTGTTACTATTTTAATTGGACGTCATTATGCGCTAAATAATCAAATCTCTCTGCCATGTCCCCAGGGGCTGACTCATATTCAGCACATTTAGACATATAGGAGCGTTGAATGAATGAACATGTAAATTCAAATATTTAAATACTGCAGATGGATATTTAAATGTAAGTATGTCAATATCTATCTATCTATCTGTCTGTCTGTTTATCTATCTATCATTGTCCCTTTTTATCTATCTATCTATCTAAGTCATACATCGATAGGAAAAACGTGATAAATACATATATAATCTCTGTCATTTCTAACTATCTGTTTGGCTGACTGGTAACAGATTTTCCCAACCTCTGAAATCTACTTGGTGCTCACATCAATCCACAAACAGACATTTCTGGAGGCCATTCGACTTACTTTTAATAAATGATAACACTGTTTTTTCTAGAATATGGCTTCTACAGCATCCGTAGATAGATAGATAGATAGATAGATAGATAGATAGATAGATAGATAGATATGAATAGACTATCGACAGATAAATAGATAGATAATGAAGAGCAAGAGATAGATAGATAGATAGATAGATAGATAGATAGATAGATATAGTTATGAACAGACTATCGACAGATAGATAGATAGATAGATAGATATAGTTATGAACAGACTATCGACAGATAGATAGATAGATAGATAGATAGATAGATAGATAGATAGAGTTATGAACAGACTATCGACAGATAGATAGATAGATAGATAGATAGATAGATAGATAGATAGATAGAGTTATGAACAGACTATCGACAGATAGATAGATATATATATAGATAGATAGATAGATATGAATAGACTGTCGACAGACATAGATAATGAAGAGCAGGACATAGATAGATAGATAGATAGATAGATAGATAGATAGATAGATAGATAGATAGATAGATAGATATGAATAGACTGTCGACAGACATAGATAATGAAGAGCAGGACATAGATAGATAGATAGATAGATAGATAGATAGATAGATAGATAGATAGATAGATAGATATCAATAGACAGGAAGATATGAATAGACTCTCGGCAGACAGAAATGAGGCATAGATAGATAAGAATAGACTGTCAGCAGATAGATTCATAGACAGATAATGAAGACAAAGAGATAGTTATGAACAGACTATCAACACACATATATATATATATATATATATATATATATATATATATATATATGAATAGACAGAGATATGAACTGACTATCGACAGACAGATATCTAGATACATATAATCAGATAGACAGTTAGATAGATAGATAGATAGATAGATAGATAGGTACGCTTAGGATAATTATATTTATTTGGTATGTGTGTTCATGCTCGATTTAGAAGCCTGTTGGCTTTACTTCAGAGTCCAAGGCAGAATCCTCTGCAACTCTCGGTCGATCCCATATTCGCGAAGCGATACCCAATTCCTGTTACTTTGCACTCAAATGCCTACATAATTAAATCGGAGTAGGCGAGAACAGGTCCCTTAGACAAACATTCTTGTCCAAACAGGACAGTAATGTCAACTGAAGACATAATGACGGGTGCGTTGACTCGGAAAGAACGCGAACGAGTGGGCTTAAGACGAAAAATACGGAACCTTCAAGAAGTAGGTGGTATGGATGGCGATTTAATTAAGAGGAAAGGAAAGGGTTAAATGGGGGAGGCGACACGAAAAAAGAACGCCAGTTGATATGAAGGCCGAGAAATGGTAAAGAGAAAGGACAAGAAGGTTAGCGAAAATGGTACGGAATAAAAGGGGATAAGATAAAAATTAGGGAGCGAGTTTGTGACAGTTTTTTTTTCTGCTTATGAACCCCAGTAATCATGATCTTACGTAGATAGATAGCAGATAGAAGTTAAATAGTGATAGAAGAAAGTAAAGAATGAAGTGGGGGGGGGGAGGAGAAGAGTTGTGAGAGGAGGAGAAAAAAAAACGGAAAATGGAGAGATGAACTGAGGTAGTGAGAGGAGGGGATATCGAAAAATGAAAGAAAAAAGGTTGCAGTTAATGGCGAATTGAACATATGGAAGAAGAAGAAGAAGAAGAAGAAGAAGAAGAAAGCTGAAGAGATGAAGAAGGAACGGGGGTGGGGAGAAAAAAGCAAATAATAATAATAATATAATAAGAAGAAGAAGAAGAAGAAGAAGGAAGCTGGAAGAGATGAAGAAGGAACTGGAGGAAATGTAAGAGCCAGGGTGTCCATTTACTGTCGATGACCTTGCTATTTAGGCACTGTCTTAGACATTTACATAATAGTGAATTATTTTCTCCTTTGATGAGAGTAGCATTGCAAATTTGTGGTCAGTCTCGTTACGGTGGGCAACCAATGCATTTAACGTATTATTTTGTAAAATGTCCCTTTAGGCAGGATAATGTAACTTTATGATTCATTGGGTTTCTAAGGAGGGGCCGTTTTTGTTTTGGAATAATTTATGGGCGTTTTGTTTCGCATAGAATATAAAATAATTACTGTACTGGAGAAATTTGAGAGTGTTTTCAATGTTCTCCTTTTCGTGTAAATAATCCGAGCTGCATATTCTTTGTGCTCTTGGATAGATGATTATGCCGGATGTTATTTTGTTATGTTGAATATAGAAATTTATTAGTTTGTTTTTATTGGCTGACTAGCAGTAGAGCCCGGCGTTGCCCGGGGATGTAACAGTAAGAGATAGATCAATTATCGACCATCATAAAGACTCAAAAATAAAATTGACAAAGATTATTGTTTAAGGTTGATGGACACGCATGTCTTAATTATTTTTTTTTTTACGAATTGGTCAAACCCAAACTCAAACAAAAACATTGTTTTCAATTGTTATGAGTCTACCGATTGAATTGAATTTTATTATAAACAATTGTCTTGTAAATGGAATTTTTAATGCATTCTGAATGTAAAAATAAAGAAAAAAGTGTGCAAGACAATAAGAAACACTACCTGCCCCCCCATAGTGAAGTTTTGTTGAAATCGGTTGAAAAATGTAGGAAATCCGATCCCATATATAAACGAACACACACACACACACACACACACACACACACACACACACACACACACACACACACACACACACAAACAACCTGGGTTTTATAATAAGTATAACTCGAGATGAGTTGCCCCCCTTTCATTCTCGTGATGGCTCTTAATCGTGTTTTCAAATTGATTTTGTGCAAAAACAATTGTGTTTTTCCCATTTTTGGCGCTGTTAGAACCACCGCAAGGTAATTTTACGTACTCCTGTGAAGTTTTGTTGAAATCGGTTAAAAAATGTAGGCAATCCGATCCAATATATAAACGAAACACACACACACACACACACACACACACACACACACACACACACACACACACACACACACACACACAATCTGCGTTTTATAATAAGTAAGATTTCCGGTGGACAACAAATGTTGAACTGTTGTTAGCGCGATGTAGCTTGCTATCCAGGAAGGATAAGGAATTGTGTTCTTCCACTTCGTATATAAATTCCATTGTGAGTACGTCATAAAAAAGTGGCGGAATAGAACTTAATAACTCAAAAACGTAGAATTTGCAGACATATGTTTATATGGACTTTTGTTCTTTGATTTGATTTGTTTTGTAAAAATATTTTTGATACAATGTATATATATATATATATATATATATATATACGCAGGGTGACCCAAAAAAACGGGAACTTTTTAAAATCCAATAAAACCCAGAGTGATAGAAGAAAAATATTTCATTCATAGTAATTGAAACCTTAAAACATGCCATTTAAGAAACAATAATGGAATTTTCATTTTTTAAGAATTACGTCCTGTAGATGGCGTCCTCTTGTACGAATGCATTCTTGAAATCTGCTGTTGAGATTCCTCATTGACTGCTGCAACATCTCAGCTGGGATACTGTGAATTTCATTTTGAATTCTAAATGGCAAAAATTCTGTTTTTTTTTGGGTCACCCTATATATATATATATATATATATATATATATATATATATATATATATATATATATATATATTTCGATTATAGGTGCTGTCCAACTTATAATTACATGAATCATTCACAAAAAAACATATATAGAGGTTAATGATTTAAATGGCGAAAATACATCTTCGCAAACAATTTCAGTAAGTTACACTAACCGCGAACCTGTATATGAATGATATAATCCCTGTTTATAAATTCCAGTTTCATAAGTTCTTTTTAGTTTTTTCAAGCTTTCGTTTGTTCCTTTCGTCTGAGGATGTCTGTAGTAACATTAGGTAATACACACACACACACACACACACACACACACACACACACACACACACACATATATATATATATATATATATATATATATATATATATATATATATATATATATATATATCGAACTATATATCGAACTCGGATTCTCAATCCAAAATGCTATCCATTACTCCACCGTGCCAGTCGAATCCATTACATTCACTTACGTTCTAATACCCTTGGGAAAGGTGTGAATCCTTTTCTTCTCCCTCCAGCTATGGTTAAATAGCAGGACAGACTGGGTTCTATAGCCTTGAATGGCAACTGGTCTAGAAGGACAACTCTGAATTCAATACCTGCAGAGGGTCGTTTGGGGACCTTGTGGCACGTAGTGCACCAGGTCTCTGTATTCGGCCCTTCAAAAAGTGTGGATGGTCCTGCACGAAACCTTCACCACTATAATCAAATCTCATGTGCTGTTGTCGGGCTGTCGGTTTCCTGGGAACTGATCTGCTTTGACTCTCATACGTCGAATTCGACGGAGAGTCGACTATATATATATATATATATATATATATATATATATATATATATATATATATATATATATATATATATATAATCATATTTACAGAGTGTCCATAATGTCGCTTTTTAGAATTTGAAAATATAATACAAAGGCAATTAATATTCTAATCTGATTTGTTCTATGTACTCAGTAGTTATCAAAATTTCTAATTATATTGCATTTGTTTATTCCAGGTACCCCGTTAAAGAAAGAGGTACTGTTAAATGAACCTCTCACATTTACTGATTCGTGGTTTGGAAGGGATGGCCTGGAGTGATAAAACTTTTCTAATTTTTTAGTAACAAGTTTAGTATCAATTTATAAGTGATTCTAATTTGTGGAAAATATCCCCGAAGAAATACATTCCAGAAGCTAAAAGGGGCTAAAGTCATTGCATTGTTAAAAAAACAAAAACAAAAAAAAAACGGTTTTCCTACGTCAAAACTGCATGAAAAGTGAAATGTTCAAGAAACAGTGTACAAACAACCATTAAAAATATTCACTGAAACACAGACACGCACGCACGCATGCACACGCACGCACACACACACACACACAGACACACACACACACATATATATATATATATATATATATATATATATATATTATAGGAATTCACAAACGTACTACGGAAAATAAGTGTCTGTAGTAATATATTTGCTTTTTCAAAATGAATTTCTCTGTTATGAACACGTTTATTTTATTTCACCAATAATAAAAAGAAAACGATAAAACAAACTAGTCCAATATTTGATCCTGCCATTTTGCGGTCTATTTTTGTTTCTGCTTTTATAATCTAAACATTCACTGCATATCTTCAATCATAATGGATCAGACCCGGATTTAAGTTGATACAATTACATTCCCGAATAAAGCATTTTTTTTGCATGTGTGTATAAGAGAGTGATAGGTGTGCTGGGCGGGTTTGTTTGTGGGAAGTGATTGTATTTATCAGTCCAAAGATTTTTTTTCTGATTTTTAAGGCTGGGCCATTAATTAATCTCAATTCGACGCAAAAAAAACCCTTCACGAATTGTAATCATATTTATTCAGTCTAATTATTTAAATGAAAACAAAGAGCTGACACATGCGTTCTATTGTTTGTTTTTCTGTCTTTTCTCTTTTTTTTATAACATCTAATTTTAAAAAAAATAATTATTATATTTCTTATTATTTACTGAATCTAATAATTTGGTTGGTCGTCGACCAACGTAATCCTTATTTTCTTACAATTTCGAAATTGAAAAAAGAAACTTGTACAAAAGTCAAAATAGAAAAATATATATATAAATATATTGAAAACAATAACGACAAACCGTTATTAAAAATGTAAAAATATAATGTAAATTTGAGAATTTAAAATTGTAAAAATATTTTTAAAGAAATGTAAAGTGGGTTATTTCAAGATTTTTATTGCTGGTAATATTATTTTCCCAAAATGTATTGCTGGTCATATAATCGTTTTCCAAAAATGTATATCTGGTAATATTTTTTCCAGAAATGTACTGCTGGTATTTCTGGTAAAATAATTTTTCCCGCCAAAAACGTATTGCTGGTATTTTTACAAAATCTATTGTTGATAATAATTTTTCCAAAATGTGTTATTGGTATTAAAACTTATTTTTACACTTTCATAATATTTTGATCCCATTTTGGATGTTAACTATTTGCCACAGCTGGGATCCTAACAGGAGACATCGCCACGGGTCAGGCTGGACGTGGGAATGCCAGAGATTAAGCGGCGCTTACACACCCCTCAGAACCTCCTGATCAGAGGCCTTGCTGTTGGATATTGTCTTACTCAGGATACGTACAAGAAAAATAAAGGCAATTAAAAAAATGTCTGCCAAAAACATACTTGGAAACAAAAAAAAAATGTCAAAATATTTTTTATTTGATAATAAAAGAGTTTTATCTTGATAAATAAATACTGATTTGATAATAAAACAGCTATTTTGATAAAATATCTAAAGGAAAAATACGGAGATGTAAATGTAAAAAAATCTATAAAATAAAGCTGTAAAACGTATACGAAAACAATATTATAACAAATTATAAAATAGAATTATCAAGAAACTTATTGAAAATTGTAAAATACAAGAAATTCTGGAAAATTTTCAAATTTCAAATGTGTTCAAATATGTCAATATGTTCAATGTCAAAATAAAATATTAAAATTTCAAACTAACTGTAAAGTCGTAAAAATTATACAAAAATGTAAAATTTGTTATAAAATGTCAAAATCGTAAAAATGTTAAAATTGCACAAAAATGTAAAATTTCTTATAAAATATCAAAATCTTAAATAATTTTAAAATTGTACAAAAATGTAAAATTACAATAAAAGCACAAAATCGTAAAAAATGTTAAAATTGTACAAAATCTAAAATTTGTTATGAAATTTCAAAATCTTAAAAACAATTAAAATTGTACAAAATGTAAAATTTGTTATAAAATGTCAAATCTTAAAAATATTGGAATTTGTACAAAATGTAAAAATTGTTATAAAATGTCAAAATCATAAAAATATTAAAATTGCACAAAATGTAAAATTTGTTATAAAATGTCAAATTGTAAAAAATATTATGATTGTACAACCATGTAAAATTTGTTATAAAATGTCAAAATTATAAAAAAAATGCTAAAATTGTACAAAATGTAAAATTTGTTATGTAATGTCAAAATCTTAAAAAATATTAAAATTGTAGAAAATGTAAAATTTGTTATGAAATGTCAAAATCTTAAAAACAATTAAAATTGTAGAAAATGTAAAATTTGTTATAAAATGCTAAATCTTAAATAATGTTAAAATTGTACAACTATGTAAAATTTGTTATATGTCAAAAACATAAATGTTAAAATTGTAGAAAATATTAAATTTGTTATAAAATGTCAAAATCGTAAAGATTTTAAAATTGCGAAAATGAAACCTGCTAAAAGCTTAAAGTGTCTATAAAATATGAAAACTAAAAATTTAAAATGGTAAAAATTAAAAATACTTCAGGAAAATAGAAAAAAATAATCACTGAAATAAATCTGTGAAAACAGTAAATAGGAGAAAAATTTTAAATTAAATTTTTAAATTTTAATAAAAAAGTAAAATTAAAAATAAAGATTGTAGAAATAAAACATATTAAAAAATATAATTACTATAAAAAATGTTAAAAATTAGTAAATAAATGTAAAATGTGTAAGAAAAGCAAAAAGCGTTATAATATAAAATTTTTTACAAAACTGAAAATTAAAATTAAATTAAAATTTGTAAAAGCAGCTGATTAAAAAAAAAAGTCAGAATGCATAAAGCAATATTTTAGAAATAAAGTAAACCAATGTAAAATTTATCAAAACGAAAATATATTTAAAGTAAATGTATGAAAATAGTAACATTTATAAAAAATATAAAAATTGTAAGAAAGGAAAGTAAATATTGTCATAATATTTTTTAAAATTTTATTAAAGGTGTAAATGTAAATTCCAAATATCAAAGATTTTCAAATAAGATTGCAAACAATTTAAAATAGTACTAAACATTTCTGACTGAATTACTGGGATGAGGAATTATCATTATTTATATTATGTATTTTTAATTTTTTAAATCGGTATCACCCCATGGAAGGCAGCAAAGCCACTAAGACACAAAGGGTTACAGGGTGTGGAAGAATTAAGAACAGAAACATTGATAATGAGCGGGAAGAGAAAAGAGTAATCAGAATCACAGTAAATAGCGATTAGCATTGCATTTAAATTTTTTCAGATTAAAGTTGGCTACAAAGCATGGAGCAACAGGTGTGAGAAAAGAAACTGCTATCATAGAATTACGACATCATTTATCCAATTCAACTGTAAATTAATGTCGACACTAGTCTAGTACTACGCTTAAATTCATAAAGTCTAGGTACCATAGCGAAGAGCTCACCCGAACAATTATCATGAAAGTATTTATAGAAAAGATACAGAGAGACAACCTTACAACGGTGGATAGGGAAATAATTGAAGCCGAGACGCCAGAACAGGACCAATAATATTGCTGATTCTTCTTTGGCTTTTATCAAGGAGCTGAAGGAAAATAGCAGAGGCACCGTACCATGTGACAGCAATATTCTAAGTATGGGCGAATGGTAGACTTACTATATTCGAACTATTATCTTCATCTTTGTTGTTATCTACTTATATTATTCGGACTATTGTCTTCATCTTTGTTGCCATATATATCACAACATTTCGGCTGTTGTGCGCTCCGGCCTTCTTCAGGTGGTTGGAATGTCGAACTGAACTGGGATCACACATATATCGACAGGATGAGGGCTTAGCAATGGGCTCACCATTATCACCAGAAATGGCGAATATATACATCGAATACTTTGAGGAAATGGCATTAGAATCTATATCTATAAAGCCAACTATATGGTTATGGTACGTAGATGATACCTTCATACTCTGGCCACACCAGGAAGATGTTCAGGTTCTACTGGACTATATGAACTCAGTAAGAACTTCGATACAGTTTACGATGGAGAAAGGGAGTAACAACACACTCCCATTACTGGATGTTTTAATATCTCGAACAGAGCATGGGTTCAAGATATTCCGTATATCGCAAACAGATATTCACCGGACAGTACCTCAATTTCAACTCCCACCATCCATACAGTGTAAAGAAAGGGATAGAGTGTATATAGTATCTAATCTCAGAAATATAGAGAGATCTTTGTTGTTGTTATCCCAACGTTTCGGACGTTGTTTATTCCGGACTTCCTCAGGTGTATATCGATCTGGGTAACCTAGAAGGAATTCGGAACTGATCTCTTTATTTATTTTACGTGGGTAGACTGTTCTCTTTCCACTGCCATGTCTAGGATATTATATATTAGATAAAGAGTTCAGTTCAGAAATCCCGGTAGATTAACCAGATCGATATACATCTGAGGAATGACGGAGGAAACACTGGTCGAAACGTTGTGATAAAAAAAAAAAATGATAATAATAGTTCGAATATTGTATTTCAACAGAACTAACGCTTTTCTCACTGTCATCCTCCAAGGAACCACCTTAGACAAAAGGAAGATGAAAAGGCTAACAGAGACTCAGATATGCAACCGTGACATAAAGTGAGCTGGTAGGGGTATCAACTGCGCATCGACCCTTCGATCACACCCGGTCATGAGCCATAATGATGATTATTTAAATAAAAAATTGTAGAAAATCTAAATTTGTAAAAAAAAAAAAAAAAAAAAAAATCTTGTAAAAAGATAATTTTCATAAATGTATAAAATGAAACTATTTTCAAGGAAATTAAGAAAATCTTCCACGGCAGAATGATAATTAATAAAAGACTACTGCTGACACATTCGAAGTTTTGGGTTTAAACTGAAATGCAATTCTTGTCAATCAAGATTATGAAACACCTCGTTTATTAAATATCTCAAATGCACAAGACTGTAGACTTAAACCTCATAGTTAAAAGAAATAAAAAAAATTAAAAAATACC